GGAGGGGAGGGGAGGGGAGGGTTGCACTACTGCTCAAGGTCGGACAGTGCACTAAAATAAGGATTTCGCATATGCCAAGCACTACGTAGAGGTGAACTAGTCTAAGCGCATATCTACTTCTACAAGAGGCTGTTTATAGTGGTTGAGCTTAAAGTAGCGTGCGATCTGCACGTACGCCTCCTCACCAATTCGAACCCACTTTTATCGCTTCTCAGTCATCTAGTTAGGTTTTGTTCGGCCAGTGAAACCGTATGGAAGATATTGCTTGTTAACTTAATCACTATCTTCGTGTAGCTAATGCGGACAGTTCTATGATTGACTACTCTGAGTGGTCCGAGTCGGTGTCGTCTCGATTGTTGATTTCGTTCTTGCAGAACACGGAGTCAGGGTGATTTGAAAAGATGCATGTCATCTGTAGCCTTCCTGTTGGGAGCATTTGCAGATTCAGCCACAGGCAATGAGGCTTCCTCATTCGTGGCATCACGATCAGGCGTTCAGTTGCAGAAAACAGGATATTTGTTCATCAAGTTGGATCAGTTGCTACAGCTTCCAGTGTAGCGTCTCGAGCGTCCGCCAAATAGGTGAGAAGTTGAAGTAACATGATATTATGCACTCCTAACAATATCAACTGTCTAGTCACTATGTTGCTACTGGACCCATATACCAACTTATGTACGTTTACTACTCACTATGGTAATCGCACACTTGTTGGCATCGTATGTCCTTTGTGCTCAAATAGAGCGGATTCCCAAAAGTTATTGCTGAAGAACGAGCGCTTTACCGCTTGCATTGATTTAAATTTAAGTAAGTTGATAGTTGCGTCTTCTAGTTTTGTGCCTTCCTTTTTATGATATGGCCATGTTTATTGACCTCTCAACCCCACTAAAAATGCTATCGCTGCCATGGCCTATCTTCGCAACTTGGGAATGCCCCGCCGCCTTGAAACTTTAGCATTGGTTTTATTATTGAATTTCTAAATGAATGTCCGTTGCTGTTTTGAGCACATCCTTACTTTGTTTTTTTCGTTCTCAAAGCGATGAGAAGGTTACTTACATTATTTGCCTGAATTGAAGGCAAATGTGCAGCTTTACAAATGCATTTCATGCTACACAACTTTCATCTTTTCAATAATACATGAAAATATAATTGTTGAACAGGTGAAATCAAATTTAATTATGTTTCATAAGTGGATGTGCATCCAGTTTAAATTCACTTAGGAAAGAGTGATACTGTTACTTGTCTCATAAGAACAAAATTACCTCGAAATAAGATAGGCAATTAATGGGCTGGAGTAGGACAATTAAGTAATTATAAGTTCCCTAAGAAATAACTCTCTTAAGTCATTGTGCCTTCCGAAATCATGTGGTCGTAGGAACGAATTAGGCGGTATCAGCAATATCACAAACAAATCAATGAAAGCATGAAGGGATTGGCAATGAGGAGGTTCAACTCAGTTAATAAGCTCTAAAAGAACAGTGAAGGAAAAGTAATTCTTGTGCGTGAGGGTCAAAGCTATTGCAGTGAATTCGAAGGTGACAGAGCAGCTGTAAATGCAAGTATTAAGCATTGGTAACAGGCCTAAGAAAACACCGACAAAGCAAACTGAGAAACGCAAGGAAAATATAACGTGAAAACACCTATGGTGATGTGAATGGGTGGGGTTTAAACAACAACTGCCTTGGTCAGCGATGTCCCTTGGCCGCCGCAGCCTCCTCAGCGGCCTCGCGCTTTTCTATCTTCTCGGGAAATTCGCCCGCAGTGGCACCAATATACGGCGCCTCGGCAGCGCTCAGACGCAATGGAGCGTCTATCAAGTAGGTAAAGACAAGCGGGATAGAGCCTGTGATATTCTGCTCCATTGGTACGGCATAGAGATACAGTTTGTAGAATGAACCACCCTTCGGTATTCGAATGAGTAAGTTGACCACCTGGCTTGGTATATCTCTGCTCAATGTACTTGTCCTGTCACCAGGCTGGGGTTCATCGTCTTCGAGAGCATTTGCTTTCTGTAGCAGATAGCCCGTTACGTCCTATAACAAGACCATTTGTGCTATTTAAAGTGTACAAGCAAAGTATAATGCATGCTGAAATGAACGGTTTCTTTCGATTATTCAATAAGTGAGAGGAGCCAACATTAAATCCTTGCTGATACAGCTGTTTCCACAGAGTTTGTCTTAGAATCAATTGTATTTATATCAATGAAAAGCGCTCGTTACACCAGATATTTGTTGAAACATATAACGTGCCACTAATCAACGAATGAATTAAGATTGTCGCAATAACGGTTGGCACAGTTCCTTACAGAAACGTAACAGTTTTCACCTAAAGCATAATTAAACTATTTACCTTAGCAAATTTTGCCCTGCAACCATTGATTCACTTACCTCTTCTTCTTCTTCAGAAATATCCACAAGTTGGCTTATAAGACAAACTTTATTCTGTTCGGGCAATCCCAGTATGATTTGGAGATCACAGGCCTCTCTGTCCACCTGCAGAGGACCTTGATCTTCCCCAACGTTAGTCTCTTCCATATGAGAGGACTCTTCACTAGGTTCACCCAGCTCCGCCTGCTGCAGATGAATACCTTGAGAGCCCATGAAGCGTTGCAGAATCTGCGACTTGTTTTTCAGTCTCAGTAGGCGCTCAGAGCCTGCTCGACCCGCAGTTCTCACTCGCACCAGTGGATCAGGATGGCTGAGCGTGCGAAAGCCAAGATTTTGCCAAGTATCGTCCTGTGGACCGAGATTTATTGTAGCTAAGCGGCTGAGAAGTGGAACAGAGAGAGGTTTCCCCGCCTCTGCCTCAATAAGGAACTGCCAGGCCTAAAAGAGATCATTTGCTTGACATAATGACCTGTCAACTTCAGGAATGACAAGTAAATTCCACCAACTTTGGTTTCATGGCTTAACCAAACGGTAAGGCTGACCAGTTTCCAAAAAAATAGTGTTCGCAAAAAAGTGAATTACATGTGGAATATTCATGGAATGAAGGAATAAAGAAAGTGAGCAAAAAATGACAGTCCTCCTCATGCACGGCATGCTAAAGAAGTCCCAGTGCCATAGTAATTACAGGTAAGTCTTCGAGTTTCGCATTTCAATGCAAGCAAGAACGCCAAATGGTTGGAGTTATCTTCATTCCATGTGTAATGGGTCAACCTAAGCACATCTACATTGTATCGCCTTTCACAATACTCTCTGTAGCATGGACGCAGAAATAACTTCCACCAGGAATGACAAAGCCTGTTAGCAAATGGACACTTCTGTCTGCGATGATAAGGAAGTTGGTTTAGAAGAATGGTCCATGCTATGATTTGCTAGAAAATAGTTGCGGACAGTTTGATGATGAGCTGAAGGATTAGTTGTCCCAATGAAGAAATCTGGCGCACTTCCTTTCATCAAGTCTGGAACCGGTGCGAATACGTGTGAATGTTGTGTATCAGGGAAGCATATTCGATTGTTTGAAAGTCAAATTAGAGGTGAGGATTCCCACAAGGCTTGGAAGTGTTCAAGAAATATTTACCAAATTACTAAACTAAAAGCCTCTCAGGCGCAATCGAATCACTTCGATATTAGAAAACCTATTTCGTGTATTACTGTAGCAATCATTCACATGCAAATTTTAATAAAAAATTGCTATTGAAATAGAAATTTTGAAGGCATGAGCTGGCGTCATGAGAACAGTAACCTAAAATCTTCTTTTCATACGGA